CCATCCGTCTCAAGGTTGAACGTGTTGTGCATTCAGAGATGCTCTTCTGCATACCTCGATTGTAATGAGAGGTTATTTGAATTACTGTTGCCTTTCTATCACCTCGAACCAGTCTGGCCATTCTCCTCTGACCTCTGGCATCAACAAGGCATTTGCACCCACAGAACTGCCGCACACTGGATTTTTTTCTTTTTTTTTTTTGGCCATTCTCTGTAAACCCTATAGATGGTTGTGTGTGAAAATCCCAGTAGATCAGCAGTTTCTGAAATACTCAGACCAGTCCATCTGGCAGCAACAACCGTGCCATGTTCAAAGTCACTTAAATCCCCTTTCTTCCCCTATCTGATTCTTTGTTTGAACTGCAGCAGATCATCTTGACCATGTCTACATGCCTAAATGCATTGATTAAAAATTTGCGATACTGAGCAGTTGGACAGCTATACCTAATAAAGTGGTTGGTAGTGTCGTTGTAAATGATGGATGCACACATTTTTTCTACTATCAAATAAACTCCCAAATATGCCACGTTCGCTTTCATAAAGTGTGTACATTAGCGCTGCTTTTAGCATCTGTGTGGTTTATTCCTATCAAACGCTCACTATAAAGTTTAAATGCGCTCTTCAAGTTCTGATGTTTGCATGTGGTGCAACACTCTCAGCAAAAAAATGCCAAAAATGTGATTTTTTTTTTATCAATGGTGTCTAATGCATGAACTCAAAATATGCGAGCCAGTGAGGAGGGAATGCGCATGACCTTATGAAAATATTTCCATCACGCAGGCAGCTCTGAATATAATTTCAGCATCGACACACTGGTCTCTTTCAGTCTCCATCGCATCCTATTTAAAAAACGCCATCTAAATGAGCTAAACGAAAATAGGGCCAAATGCGCCGCTTGTTTGGGTTAAATATTTATGCATGTGGAAAAGGAGAAGAAAAAAAAAGACGAAATGAAGTGATCTGTGGCAAATTTAACGGCTGCTTAAGATTATTTATTTCACAGGTGCACGCCGAGGAAAACACAGACGTTACGTAATCGCTTGGAAAGTAACGGGTCATCCTAACAAATCCCTATCTGTCACATTGACATCGCATAGCGGACGATAAACTTTTCAACCCGCATCCTGAGGCGAAGCAGGACCATGAAGGAGCTCCATAAATAACTAGTCAATAACAATTACGCAACGTTAGTGGAAATGGATATAGAGAGACGGAGAAACAAAAACAGCAATTTATCCCTTTAAATATATACACATGAGCTTGGAAACCTTAAAAGGACAGTTCATCCAGGCATGAAAGTGGCCTTATGTCATTCCAAACTTGTATGATTTGCTTTCTTTCTGCAGCTGAGCACTAAAACAACACATTTTCAGTCATGTACTCATTTCCATGTGTAATAAATTATTATCTATGAAAGCTTCGAAAATGACATAAAAACAACCAGAAAGTACGTCTAAAAAGGTATGATTGATACATTTCAAGTAACTCAAGCAGATTTTGGGTCTAAATAAAGAACTTTTAATGATAATATTTCCCTAAGAGTCAGTGAGTTACTAACATCTAAGAACTAAATCAGTCCAATTCAAGAACAAATGACAGCGAGTGGAATTTGAGACATTTTCTTACGAATTGCAAGGGAAGCTAGGGAAGATATGAATTTTAATTATTGGTCGATTCCCCACATTAAGCAATCAAATAGAAATCTAATTATTTTTATGTTATAATATGGTAGGTTAATGCCATGGTTTCTGCAGGTAAATTAAATGTAAGGCCTTTGAGAAATGAAGACCATTATGAATGAAACTTAGTGAAGTTTTTGAAACTTATACAGGACTAAATGCAAAGGATGTTTTTTGAATATCCCAGTTGAGAAAGATTTTCACTATCTATAAATCTATGAGCAAATTAAGCACAAACAGCTATATTAAGCCGTTTACGGTGTGCTCAGTGTCAGAAGGAGCGGTACAGTAAGGTAATGCAATCGTGGCACATTAATTCCACATTCACAGTCCGGCCATTAAGGTAACTTTCCAGCCTCCCTCATCACAGATAGAGTTTCCACGTCTCTGACTGAGGCCCTTGATGTCTTGCACCTTGGGCACCACGCAAAAAAAAAAACTCAGATGGACTTTTTTTTCTCTTCTTTTACAGGGTTCACAGAATCTCCGAACGCGTGGCCTCCCAGCCAAAACCCCCAGCACGATTAATTTAGTAACGGGTTATTAAGCTCAGACATAAATTGCAGCCCTGGACATTTTAAATGGAAAAGGGGGACTGATTTATTGAGGCTCCGGAGACAAAACAGGTTTTTTATTTTCCATTTATTCATCGGCACTCTCTGGGAGTGGTAACTCGCGAGGAATTCGCAGGAAAGAGGGAGCGAGCGGGAGGAGGGCAGGAGGCGATGGCAACCGCGATCAAAGATAACGCTGACCGGAGCCGCCGTCGTGCCCTTGACTTCTCCACACTACAGATGGGCTGGCAGGGACTTCTCAAAACTAAACACACGCGGGAATTATGCGGATTTGCCGTTTGGAAGATTGGAGGCACCTGTCTGAAATCTTCACAAAGGCACTCGTACGCTGATAAGGATATTATTAATCAAGGACTAAAAGAAAAGCCTGAGGTTATTGTGAACTCTGGATGTCTTCTGACTGATGTCTCTTTTTCTTTTACCTTCATTATAGCTAAATGACGCAATTACTACATCCTGACTTTTCTTCACAATTCTGAGCCATTTCTGATACTAAAACTTTCAAAATGATAAATCAAGTGAAAATCGAGGAGACCAGTAAAGAGCAAATAAACAAAAATAAGCCCCCTCCGATAAATGAGCTTAAAATAGCGTTAGGAGTGAAACAATTTGACAACATTATCGACTATAAAAGTTGCAAACAAATATTCTGTTGGTCAAAGAATAACCTATTGTCATTGTGTGTGAAATATATTTATTTGTATTGTAAAAAAAAAGTTTTTTTTAAATAATTATTGTAACTTTAAAATTGTGATTTATTTTTTTAAGCTGATCCAATTACATGGTTTTGTTTATTAGTTAGGTAACTGCAAGTTGAATAACTGAGCAACGACTTTATTAATGTAACAGTAGATGAGTACTGGATTAATCAATCCAATAATTGTTACAATAATCAATTATCAAAATAAAGATTTACTGGTGAAAGAGTAGGTTAGTGATCGATTATTTGATCTAATAACCATTAGATTAATTAACTATCAAAATACTAATTTACTGGTCAAACAGTAGACAATTACTCGATTAATTGAACTAATACTCTTTACATTAATCAACTTTTAAAAATAAAGTTTACTGGTGAAAGAGTAGATGAGTGCCCGATTAATCGATCTAATAATCATTAATCAACTATCAAAATACAGATTTACTGGAGGAACAGTAGATGAGTACTTGATTAATCGAACAAATCATTACATTAATCATTAACCAAAATAAAGATTTACTGGTGTAAGAGTAGATAAGTATCCAACTAATCAAACCAAGAATTATTAGATTAATCAAATAAAAATAAAAAAAGATTTACTGGTGCAACTATAGATGAGTGCTCGATTAATCAATCTAATAATCGCTAAAATTAATCAACTATCAAACTACAAATTTACTGCTGTAACAGTAGATTAGTACTTGATTAATCTAAAAAATCATTAGATTAGCCAACTATCAAAATTAATTTTACTGATGTAAGAGTAGACGAGCACCCGGTTAATTGATCGAATAATTATTAGATTAATCAACTATGAAAAAAAAAAGATTTACTAGTGCAACAGTAAATGAGTATTTGATTATTCGATGTAAAAATAGTTAGACTAATTACCTATCAAAATAAACATTTACTAGTAGAACAGTAGATGGGTACTCGATTAATCGATCTAGCAATCGTTAGATAAAACTATCAAAATAATGATTTATTGGTGGAACAGCAGATGAGTACTTAATTAATCGATTTAATAGATGCATTAATTATTTACATAATGATTTTAAATAATAATTATAATGCTAAAACAATTTGTTAAATTGAATTAAAATGAGTTACTACTTTACGATGCAAAAATAACAATAAAAATTTTGTTTAAATAATAAAACATTTAGTCAAAAAACTGTATTTTACATGTTTTATGCTATTTTTTAAAATAATATTATATCATATTATATAAAATCAGACATTCTATCTAGATTTACAAATATATTTCAAGTTCAATTTTATAAGCATACGCCATGAACGTCGCTCATCTACACATCGCCATGTGATTTAACATTTAAAGTCTGTAAACGGTACTGAACAAAACCCGAAGTCTAGAAACATCCTCCTATCCACACATTACGAATAATCTGTTTCTAACCAGACTAAACATCTGATATCCCCTCCTGATCCACTAGTGGTGATGTTTCCCCACTGTCAGGGCACGTTTGTCTCAGGACTCTATCAGATCGGGGAAGGTTTTCAGTAAATAAAGAATCACTGATCCTTACTGTCTTGCTAACATGCATCGTCGGTTTTTCCTCTGGAAACATGACCTCACAGACAACCCTATGGTCTGGACATGACCGTCCGCCGCTATTCATGCAGACCGAGTATTCCCTAAATGGATAAACCATAATATGCTCTGCTTTCTCCGCCACTGACCTCTCATTCAAGACCATGGCTAGTTTCAGACAAGTGCAAAATGCGAAAAGTAATGTAACGGCGCGGCCATGCTCCAGAACTCAAGTGGAACAATCGCAATAACAAGAATGCAATTCTACAGGGTGCGCGTTTACAATCATGTAAGCAGTCAAAATGGAGGCAGAAGAAATCAACTGATATCAAATGCAGAAAAAACATGGTGCTTTACAGGTACTCAGGAGACCAGAAAGTGCCAGTGCAGACATTTGACGATTCGGAGTTCAGATTCCCCTTCGCTCCACTACCCCTGCAGCTTCCTATCATTTGGGGGAAAAAGGCTCTCAGCCCATTTGTTGCGTTCGCTCACCTCTGGAGTATTCTTCTTGAACTCGCGGCTTTGGTCGATGAGTTTTTTCCTGGACTGCTCGCTCTCATCCTGTCGGTTGGCCAGGGCTGTGGCGGTGGCATCCAGTTCTTTCTGAGGACAGATAAGGGAAAGATTCGGATGAGCTTCTAAAGGAATGATTTGATGCAAATACAGGAAAATCCTGATTAATTCAATTAACAATTTAAGCTGAATGATTCAGTGAATTGGATTCAAAACATTAACTTTCATTCATTTTCTTTTCAGCTTAGTCACTTCATTAATGTGGGGCCGCCGCAGTGGAATGAATCGCCAACTTATCCAGCATATGTTTTACGCAGCAGATGCCCTTCAAGCTGCAAGCCATCACTGAGAAACACCAATACATTCTCATTCACACACATACACTACAGACAATTTAGCCTACCCAATTCCCCTACAGCACATGTTTTTGGACTTGTGGGGTAAACCGGAGCACCCGGAGGAAACCCACGCCAACAACATTAACTTCAGATCTGATATTCAAGGCATCAATTTGATTAGTAACTTTCGATCGAATCATTTAGTCTAAATCATGTAATAGATTAGCAGATTTATTGAAAAGAACCAGTCAATACAATTTAATATTATTCAGAAACCTGGATTTAAAATTTGGGATGCACCAAAATTACAGCAACTAAAAACAATCGGTCGGAAATGGCATTTTAAAGTTACTGAGTTATTATAGTTACAAATTTCATTCCTGGTTTCTGTTTTCAGCCAAGAGCAACCTGGATTTTCAGTTTGAGCGCAGATTTTTCATTTTAGAGTATCCCTTTTACCCAACCCAACGTCAACCCAAACTGATTTATGAATGAAATGGTTCGTTAAAATAAACTAGTTGATTTGATTTGATTAACAACTGATTTGGAATGATTTTTTGGGTCACAGGTGTTGGGTGGTTGTCGCAGACGAAACTTAAGACAGTTGGGGAGTCGCAGAAAAAAGTGAAAGTAAACAGCGGACAGTGGAGGAGGGCGGTTGAGAAGGGGGATCAGCAAAATCAGGTTAAAAATTAAGCCCTGCTTCACTGGAAAGAAAAAAATGCTGAACTTTAGCAAAACTAAAATAGTTGGATTTCAAATTTCAGCTTAAAAACTAGGGCTGGGCGATTAATCGAAAAGTAATCGAAATCGAGATTCAGAACCTATAATAGATTAAATATTTTCAAAACATTTTTTTAAATTACTTTACCTACCGCGTGCAGAGTCACATGACCTCACTCTGTTAAAGGCTGATTTATACATCTACGGCCACTTTGCAGCCACATCTGATCTCTGGTCAAGTAGAAAGATGAACCCATTCTTTAGCCTTACATTGCACTACTTTTACGATGATTGGAAGCAGCACCAGAGATGCCTTGTGATGGCACATTCTGCATTAGATTAAAGTTAATATTTACATTAGAATATTTGTTAACAGAAGATGCAATAAATGCACTGTTTAAACTATTATATACAAGATAAACAAGAGTTATTTTATTTAAAAGAGATACTGCTTATTTTATACTTTTAATATGAATATGTTTGCAAAAGTGCAAGTTATTTAGGCAATGTGTGCTTTAATATCAGTTGATCAACACTGATGTTCAATAAATAATGATAGATAGCAGATAGTGTGTGCTTCCTTCAATTATTTTAAAATCAATAATGCGCCCTTCATTCAAAAATCTGTAAACTATGAGGGCAAAATAAATAAATAAATACATAAAATAATCATTCATTAATCACAATCGAGTTAAACTGTTCAATTAATCGAGATATTGATTTTAGGCCAAGTCACCCAGCCCTATTAGAAACAGATTCATGAATGAATTTAGAGTAAATTGAGAATCTAATAAAGTGGATCTGATTCAAAATTCACACTCATTCATTCAAAGTTTTACATTGAAAATGACGACTTGACATCAGTTTGTAAGTTAATCGTTCAGTCTGAATTGCGAATCAAATGAAGAATATTTTAAAATTGACAATTACTATTTGGCAGTTCTACGATGAATACGAAAGCACTGATATATTTTCTTCCCACAAGAACAGTCACTGACCTCAGACTGGTTATGTTTACAAAAAAAAAAAGCGAAAGCTGTAAAAACAATGACAAAACCTTCTCGCCCAACTTAACGTCTATTTTGCAAAAAACACACGCTTTATAGGGTGTGAGAAAACCGTTCGCTATGCACCTGCAGGCATACCCGCGACTATAAACCGCACGTTTAAAATGAACCAACCAGATTCCCTTGAAAGCTGCGACAAACATGGCGCGATTGGCCGCCGCATCCATCAGTTACCTACAGCGTCCCACCCCCGTTGGGGCTCGTGAAAAGTCAGCAGTCTGCGGTCCCTGCCGTCCCACTGCTCTCCTCTCAACAGCAGGGAGCTGAGCTAAAGAATATCGTCTGACATCTGGGAGCCAGATGCTGGGAACAAATCAACTTAATTAGGCTGGAACTCAGTGCGCCAGACTCCCCAAACCTCCAACACAACAACTGGGGGGCTGAGTCACCACAGTCTCGCCCCAGTTTTACTCTCCTCTGTTATTATCACCTCCTCCTTCCACATAGGAAGACACATGGCTCCGCAAAACATTCGTCGTTCGGCTAGTCTGGCAAGGTAAAAGTACAAGGGCTGATCTCAGGGGACGAATCTGGTTTTAAAATACCATCCCTAGAGATGGGTGTGGATCGTTGGTTTCTGGGTCAATGGGACATGTTTTAGATAAAAACGTCATGCTATGTAAAGCTGGTTCTGGTCTTTCTAAATGGCTGTTATTAATAGTGGAGTAACCATGATGAAAATAAACTGTGACATAATGCGTTTACCCTAACAATGTACTGACATGACATGCTCGCACAGTGTGTGTGAGCACTTTTAAGGGTAGTGTTTATTTATTAGTTCTCTATAATCATGATATACATTCATGTCTTAAAATATAATGCAATGTTTAAGGTCGTGCAGACATAATATGAATCATATTACAATGCTAAGTTAGAAAGGCATCTGAGTGAATCATTCTGAATCAGATCAAAAAGAACCTGTTGATTCACAACGCTGAGCTAAGTTGACTGGATTCAAATTGACTGAATGTTTAGCGGTTGAGCTTTCGTCATTTCTGAATAAAAAAAAATTCTCCATCCCTAAAATCCAAATCTCGAATAATTGAACATTTTAACTCGATTACAATTAATTAACGATTATTTTATTTATTTATTTTATGTTTTTGACTTCATAGTTCACAGACAAGTTTTGTACAGTAAACATGCTCACATATTACAAGGGATATTACAAGTACAAGATTTTTGAAAGAAGGATACATTACTTGATTTTAAAATAATTGAAGTAAACACACCATATACTATCAATGATTATTTATTGAACAACTGAAATTAAACACACATTGCCTAAACACAGCTCTCCGCGCCGCCCACCCTAATACTTACCAAAAACCGATCAATCACAAAGCTTGCATTATGGGTCGTTGTGACGTGTAGTTAAGTTATTTTTGAGAAGTGCGGGGGAATGCGAAGGCTACTCCAGACCGTATACATGGACTTGGCAGAGGTATAATATCAGAATAATATAATAAGTAAAAATTAGCCTTAACAGAGTGGGGTCACGGAACTCCACACACGTTAGGGAAAGTAATTGCATGTTCTGATTGTCGATTTCGATTACTTTAATTAATCGTCCAGCCCTATAGCTGAATGAATTATTGGGAGCCATTTTAAAAAGCTATTAATTCAAAACACGATTTTAAGTTGACCATCATGTGGACTGGATTCAAAACGTCAAATTCATGAATGGTTTTTAATAAATTATTTCATTGTATTAACTAAATATGTCAAAAACTATTGTTACGTTTTCAGAGCTTAGCTCAGTTTTTAAATAAAATATATATTTTTTTTAAATCATTTTTTTTATACTCTACAGCCAAAGTTACGGCAAAATCAGATTTAATCAATATAAAACAGACTAAAGCAATAGTTGTACTTAAAAACACAAGAATAAGTATTAGGGCTGGGCGATTTGGCCTAAAAACGAAATCTCGATTGATTGAACATTAACTAAATTACGATTAATAAAATTAATTAATTAATTTATTTAGTTAACAAATTTTCTACAGTAAATATACTCATAATACAAGTGAGAGATTTTTAAAAGAAGGGTGCATTACTTGATTTTAAAATAATTAAAGGAAACACACACTATCTGCTATCTATGATTATTTATTGAACGTTGAACAACTGAAATTAAAACACACACTGCCTAACACCAACAGTCACGCTTTCTGAAGTGATAATAAATACTTTGTACTTTTGGAAACAAAATAATTTTCAATGTTAATTTTTTTTAAGTTAAAAGTAGAAAATAAGCAGTATTTCATCTAAATAAAATATCTTGTGTAGATTCTGTAAATAACAAGTAATATTAATAAAATAATAATAAGTGCATTTCTTGAATCTTTTTTAAAGAAATATTTTAATGTAAATAATCATTTTATTGTAATGGAAAATATGTTATGTCTGGCGCAGCTTTCAGTCATCGTCAACGCAGTGCAAACTTGTGATGTGTAGTTACATTTTTTTGAGAGGTGCACGGGTATGCGATCGAATGAAGGCTGTGCCAGACCATATCCATGCGTTCGACGAAAAAGTATAAAGCAGCCTTACCAGAGCGAAGTCACGTGACTCCACATGTTAGGAAAAGTAATTGAAAAAATTGACCTGATTATTGGTTCTAATTGCTGATTTCGATTACTTTTTGATGAACTGTCCAGCCCTAATAAGTATCAACGTAATCCTTATCTGTTGTTTCTAAAAAAAAAAAAAAAGTAAAAAAAATGCAGGACTATAAAATGAATGCGTTTGTATAATAATTATATAGTATTTAATTTCAGAAGAATCAAAGCAGTATTTAAATTTATATTAGTAACTTATATGTACATTAGCGTCGTGGAACGCTTTGAGACTGTCTCCCAAAACTCCAAAGGAAACTTACTAGTTTACTTGGATCTTTTGCTTTGAGACTTAATAAAGACTCTCCATTTAATCCCGCTGGAAACGTTGGAGATATTAAAGA